GTAGTAGTTGTGCTGGTTAGTCTAGTCTTTATTGTCAACCCGGCATAACTTAGAATTGCCTTGAAAGGGGGTGTTTCCAGTGAGAGACTGGCCGGATGAGATTGACCTATGCCATGTCTGTGAGGAAGAGTCTCAATTGTTGGTTGATGTGGGAGGGCCTGGCCCACCATGGGTAGTGGCTACCCCGAGCAGGTGGTCCCAGGTTTTATGTGAAAACTGGCTGAGCAAGGTGGATGCTAGCTAGTATGCAGTGTTTCTCTCAAGTCTCCACTCCACTTTCAGATCCCATCTTCAGGTTCCTGTCCTGACTTTCCTCTGTAATAGAGTGTTACCTGAAAAAAAAACCCCTCCCTCCCAAGTTATTTTTGGTCACAGCAATAGGAAAGCAAATTAGGACTATTGTACAAAGCAAGTCCTAATTTTTTCTTATGTAAATATAATTCTTATGCCTTCCTTGTACACACCTGGTGTCCCCTTGTGCACACTTATCTCCTGGTCTGGTCATGGTTCTCAAACAGGTTTGTGATTTTCTGTTACTGACTCCCAGTCAGAGGTGCTGAGATGCCAGAATCTGGAGTTTCTGACACAGATGATGTGTGCTTGAAATCCCTGGGATGAGCATGCACCTGTGACCAGCACTCTTTGGTCGCATGGAGAGTCAGCCTCTGCATGATCAAGAGCCTGGTCCTAAATTTCCTGTTCCCTGTGGCTATGAAAGGCTAGAGAAAGCCCCTTGCACTGGGCTGAAGCAGGGCTGGGACCTGGTGGTCAGGCTGGCAGGAACCCCCAGTGTCTCTCAGACTATAAGACTGCTGCAAATGTCCTGGGGGCAGTGAGCCCCTCTGAAAGGGAGGCAAACAGCAAGCAGTGTGGGCCTCGGCTGCGCCTTTGCCAGAAAAGCACAGCTGCTGTGAGTACCGAGAGTCAGCCTTGCCAGGACCAGTGAGGCTTTCCTCTGCTAGGGGAGGGGTTCACTCTGGACTGAGCACCTATGAACGTGATTTAGGTCAAGCACACCACAGTTGTTGTCCCCTCCTTGTTCATGATCTCCATCGCTGTCAGTATTTTCACAACACTTGACAGTTTGAACGACCTCCTGTAATGGTTTCTCCATGTGTGTGCAGGGCTGTAGGTGTATGTGTCGTGTATGTACATGTATATGTACAGAGGCCAGAAGAGGACTTCAGGTGTCTTTCTCTGTCACTCTCTGCCGTGTTCCCTTGAGAGAGTCTCTCACTAAACCTGGAGCTGGTCAGGCAGCCAGAGAGCCTCAGTATTCTTCCTGTCTCTGGCCCCCAACAGCACTGAGGTCAGAGGTACAGAGCCACGTCTGGTTCTTTATGTGGGCACTGGGGATTTGAACTCTAGTCTCCATGCTTGTGCATCAAGCACCTTTACCCACTGGCTGTCCTGGAACTCACTCTGTCGACCAGGCTGACCTTGACCTCACAGAGATCCGCCTGCTTCTGTCTCCCTAGTGCTGGGATTAAAAGTGTGTGCCACCAACCAGCCCCAAGGACTTTCTTCATGCATATGAAATTGATATTTTCCTTTTCTTTAAATCCATGAAGTTGATATTTTCCCCTTGAAGAAACTGAGACTTAAGTCATAAAGGAGGTGGCCAGTGTTGGGGCCCACATTCAAGTCCAGATCAAATTTCTGCCATCTGGTACCCTCCTCTTACACCATAGATTGCTTTTCACAAATGTGGTTTTCCTTGTAAGCAACACTAGTTGCTACTACTCAAGGGGAAAATGGTGCTGGAGTAGTACAAACGGCCAGGAGGTACACAAAGTGATCATTGGCGCTGGCAAGTGCAAGCCTTTCCTGCCGGTCATTCCAGTGATAAGGACATTATCAAAAGTAGCCGTTAGTCTGAGCAGTCGAAACTGTTTTGTATGATTCGCTCTGACCCCCACACTGGCTGGCAGTGGTTCTGTGTGAAAATGCAGTGCTTGTGCTCCTGTTGCTGGCTGACAGGCTTCCTGCTCACACGGCTCTTAATGGCCATGTGCCACTCGTTGACACTAGCAGAGTGACTGCCATCTGGACCAGCAGTGTTGGGAGCCTTCACTTTATACTCGATTGTGCTTGCATTTGAGGAGGGCAAGTAAACAAATGAGTAGCCCTGAAGACCAGCAGACTGAAAAGAGGCTTCTCTTAACAGTGAGTGCAGATGAGAAAGGCTTGCTGTCAATCATGGGCAAAGCACCTTGGATCCAGCCTGTTCCGGTTGTCCTGTGCAGGACATAAATCTCAGCACTACTACATATGGCTACCTTTCGGTCTCAGTCTGTTCCTGGTCCCTGCACCCCATCCCAGTGTGTGTGTGTGTGTGTGTGTGTGTGTGTGTGTGTGTGTGTGTGTGTGTGTGTGTGTGATACATACAGAGGAGGAGGGCAGACATGTATGTGCTGCCACTGGCCAGTTACATGAGGGGCACTTGGATGTCTAATACATGATATTAGACAGTGTCATCATGACTACCATTTACAACAATCCACCACAAGACTCACTCTGGTGGGGGAGGGGGAGGGCAGAGGTTCTTGTTTCTGTCCAACAAGAAGCCGTGTTCATCACATACACAATCAACTGAGAGACAGAAGCTGCAAGTCAGCTGGGGCTGTGGGATATAAGGAATGTGGCAGAGAGCGCCGGCTTCTCTCTGCCTTGGGTAGCCCCGTCTGGCACGTCATTTTCCTTCTTTCAAAGATCTCCTTTAGACAGTTTTCTGCTACAGAGCTCAAACAGTTTGACTGTGTTCTGGTTCACGCACAGATGTCTTTATTTCCCTTTCAGTTTGGGACACGGTTTTGCTAGATTGGAATTCCAGGTTGATACGTTTTTCCATGTTTTGAAGGTTTCAATCCACCTTTTCTTGCTTGCCTTGTTTGTGGAAAGAAGTACCATTTGATTTGGATTCTAGTTCCTCCCTCATGGTAAGGTTTTCTTTCTCTCTTGCAAGATTTTCCCTTTGTCTTTGTTTTCCTGTCATCTGAATTTGATATGCATACCTGTAATTTATAGTATTTATCCAGGCTGATATTTCCGAGATTACTGGACCTGTCAGGAATTTCAGAAAACTCTCAGCTACCATTACCCACTTTCGTGTTCCTTTGTCCTCTTCCAGTATTCTCATTGTATAGACATTACACCATTTATAGGTGTCCCACAGTTCTTGGATATTCTGCTATGTTTTGTTCGTTCTTTTTCACCGCTGCACTTTAGTGAATTTGCCCTTTTTGTGTTGATAAATCTACCAAAGGCACTATTTATTTCTTAGATTGTGTATGGGTTAGCGTTCTGTTTTGATTCCATTTAGGTTATTTGGAGACGCACATCTATCTATTTTTTCCCACCGTCTTCCTTTCCCACTAAGTCCTTAGCATGTTAATCATAGCTATTTTATGTTCCAGGTTGGATAATTCCAAAATATCCATCACCACTAAATCAGTTTCTAAATTTTAACATGTCATTCCAAACTATTTTCTTGCCCTTGGCATACCTCAGTATTTTTGCTGGACATGAAGTATTGTAATGGGAATGAGCTGCATAGACCTTTACTACAAGGGGTCATCTGACTAGGAGTTATGCAGTGTTTATCATCTGCTGTGACTATGTATCTCTGCATATTCAATTTCCCCCTGCATCTTTTGTCTCTACTGCTGTCCTGTGTTTCCTCAGAAGTTTTAGAGCCTGACTCCTGCAGTTTTTTCATCTGCATCCCTACATTGTGCAGGGGTTCTGTCAAGAGTGTGAGAAGTAGTCTATATTCCTATGAGCTCTTTCAGGTGGGTTTGTGTCCCGGAACTATCACGTGCACAGGTCTCCCTCAGCACTGCCTGCTTCTAGAAGGCTAGATGAACTCAGGTCACTATCTATGATTCTCCAGTCAGACTAAATCTTTGGTAAAAGTACTGTTTCTTGACAGCTGTCTTTCAATACAAATGAACAAAGAGCAGAACCCCAGGAGTATTTCATAGTGGGTGTGTGCCCTTCTTCTAGCTGAAAGCAAGGCAGAGAGTTTTCTCTGGTCCCCATAGTGAGAATGTGATGGGGATCCTGAAGTGAAATATGGACTTTTAATTTTTGAGTTTCTCTGCAGTGAGCCTCCAGCAACTGCCAAGCAGAGGTTAAATGTCCTCCCCATGGCTGCAGCTGCTGCATTAGTCTCGGGCTCCTGTGCCCTCTGAGTTGTCTCTATTTGAATACTACCATCTTGCTTTTTCAGGGCAACCCTTTGTCCAGTGATCGCAATCCTCTGGTGGACACAGGAAGTGATATTTTGTCACTTTTGCTTATTGTAAGAATGGAGATAACCATGTTCAACATCTTAACATGTTAGAGGAAAATCTAGAAGTCTAAATTGCTCTTTATTGATAATTGTACAAAAGTGGACATCATAGTAAAACTGAGAGATTGAATTATATCGGTGACTGGATTTTATTCATTTTGATTATTTGGCCATGTTATGGAAACTGAACCAGCATTTACATATAAAAAATTAAGTATAATTTGAGGCACATATACTCTTTCTTACAATTTTACATTGCTCTGGAGCAATCTACTGCCTAATAAGAAAAATCTTCCACCAGCTCTGCTATTAATCTTTGCAACTATTAAAATTGCAGAGATTTAAAGGATATATTTACCATTGGCTATCCTATCATTTGATTTTATTAAGCAAAATACAGCATTAGTTTTTTCTTTACCAAGATATGCTTTGTGTCTAATAAATTGATAGTTTTATAAGCAGAGCCAGAGCTGGCACTTTTTATTATTGCTATGGGGTCTTTATCAGACTTGAAAGTTCTTGTGTTTAATCAAACAGCTGCGAGTTTCTAGTGGCCACATGGCTACAGATTGTGCTAGTCCCCTGGAGTCACCAATAGTGTATTTCCTATAGAGTACAATCCTAAGTAGGAAGCATTGTTTTACACTATGATTTGAGAGACTTTTGGAGCCACAGGAGATTTTAAACATTCTTTCTGTTTATTTAGGTTGATTCCAAATGTAATTGACCAGAAATCCTTTGTTTTCCCTATGGAGTCTGAGGATAATAAACTTGGGCGACCTCAAAAGCAGCGCAGTTTGGTTTCACATGGCCTTACAAGAGCAAAGGTAGGAGCCTGTGAGACAGGCTGCAGAGACAGGGGGAAGGGAGGCCAGGGTGTGAGTTTTCTTTGGGGATAATGAAAATATTCCAAAGTTTATAGTGGTGAGGGCTTACAACTCTGTAAATGCACTAAATACCACTAAATGTTCACGTTCAAAAGGGGAGCCTGCTGACATAAATTATATCCCAACAAAACTGCTAAAGTTTTTCCAAGGTAGCATCTCTAGTATTTGGTGGTGGTGATGGGGAAGGGTTTATTTGGCTTATACTTCCATGTCACTGTTCATCATCAAAGGAAGTCTGGATAGGAACTCAAACAGTGCAGGAACCTGGAGGCAGGAGCTGATGCAGAGGCCATGGAAGGTGCCGCTTGTTCTTTATGGCCTGCATAGACTTCTGTCTTATAGAACCCAGGACCACCAGCTCAGGATAGCACTACCCACAATGGGCTGGGCCCTCCCCCATTGATCACTAATTTTAAAAAATGCCTGACAGGTTTGCCTATAACCCAATTTTTAAAAAAAGACAAAATAAAATATAAAAGATAAAGCAAAAACCATCATATCAAAGTTGGACATGACAATCCAACAGGAGGAAAAGAGTTCCAAGAGCAGGCACAAGAGTCAGAAACCCACTTGTTCTCACACTCAGGAGGCTCATCAAGATACTAAGCTGACAGCTATAATACATACACAGAGAACCTGGTGCAGATCCATGTAGGCCCTGTGTTTGCTGCTTCAGTCCTGTGGGAAAACTGCTAAACTTTTAAAAAGAGTAAATATTTACAGTGTTTTAAATTAGATAATATAATGCATATTTTGATCTGTTTCTATAATTCAATGTTGCTGTTGTTTTGGGTGTGTCTATAGCACAGTTAATTTCCCAACAAAAGAACAGTTCTTCAGAAGTAAAGTCAATCAAAGCACACTATTTTTTCCAAACAGAGTTCAGGAGGAACATTTCCTGCTACTCTGCTGAGTGTGTTTATCAACTGTAGGAACTTCCTGGTACAGGCAGTCTCCAGGGTCTTATGGAACCACATGATCTGCAGATAAAGATGCGTTGACTTCTTTCCTGTTTGTATGCATGGATCCCTGTTGTCATCTGTTGAGTAGGAAATGCTTGGAGTTTCTCTCCATTTAATATGATGTTGGCTATGGGCTTGCTGTAAATTGCCTTTATTATGTGGAGGTATGTTGTCCATATCTCCATTCTCTTCAGAACTTTTACCATGAAGGGATGGTGGATTTTCTCTAAGGCCTTTTCTGCATCCAATGAGATGATCCTTTCTGTCCTTCCAACTATTTATATGGTGGATTATGTTTATTGATTTATGTATATTGAACCATCTCTTAGGAGAAGCCAACTTGATTATGGTAGATACTCTTGTTGAATTGGGTTTTATTGAAAAGTTTTACATTTGTGTTCATCATGTTCATCAGAGATTTTGGCCTAAAATTTTCCTCTCTTTCCTTTTTTTTTTGTCTTCTTTGTTTCACTTTGGTATCAGGGTAATACTGGCTTGGTAGAAGAAATCTGGAGCTGCTCCTTCCTTTTCTATTTTGCAAAATAGTTTGAAGAGTTTGTTGTAAGTTCTATGAAGATCTGGCAGAATTCTGCCCTGAATTTTTCTGACCCTGGGCTTTTTTAGTTGGGAGATTTTTAATTATTGCTTCTATCTAACTGGGTATTATGGGTCTATTTAAATTATCTGCTTTTCTTGACTGAACTTAGGTAGTTTGCATGTATCCAGAAATTCACCTTTTTTTTTTTTTAAGATTTTTCAGTTTGGTGAGTATAGATTTTTTTTAAAAGATTTATTTATTTATTACATATACACCAGATTGAATTGTAGATGGTTGTGAGCCACCATGTCATTGCTGGGAATTGAACTCAAGACCTCTGGAAGAGCAGTCAGTGCTCTTAACCTCTGAGCCATCTCTCCAGCCCCGAGTATAGATTTTTTTTAAAGAGTTCATGAGGTCTCTGACTTTACCTCCACAGAATGTTTTTTTCAGTTTGGTTCTGATTTCATTTTTGTGTTAGTAGGTTCAGCCCTCTCCAACAGAATTCACAGGCAGACATGAAAGAAGTCTGCCTCTTACAGTTACTGATGCTACAGGCCCAATCAAGAAGCTGGCAGATTGGGTCTGTGATGAGGACCCATGTCCTAGTTTGGCACTAACTCCATTCCTGGGAGTTCCACCCTTATAATCTGTTCACTGAACAAAGACCTTGCCCCCTATCATTATTCCATAAGAAAATTAAACATTGATCAGATATTTATTTTTTCCACAAGAGTTTTGAGCCCTAGTAAATGAACATGGATATAAAGACAAGGACGCATGTGCTGAAGGGAGCAGTGCTGTGCTCTCTGAACTAGGGGAGCTCTGTTCAAGAGGGGTGTGGATCTTTCCCACCCTGACTTCATTTCCCCTCCAGGCCTGACTCCCCGGACATGTTTTATCCCTAAATATTGATGACATCTGGCTTAAAATGTGTGTCTGCCCTGCCTAATGGCTCACTCCTTTAATCCCAGCACTGAGAGGCAGAGGCAGATGGATCTCTGAGTTCAGGGACAGCCATATCTATATAGAGAGTTACAAGACAGACAGCCAGGACTACTACATGGAGCGATTCTTTGTGTGTGTGTGTGTGTGTGTGTGTGTGTGTGTGTGTGTGTGTGTGTGTGTGTGCATCTTCAGACACAAGCAATAGCTTTGACTTTGTACTGTGAAGCGCAGGGAAAGGAGGCTCCTGTACCGGCATAAAGGCCTATATCTTTAAGTAGGTATAAAATCCTACTAGGCGATTCCAACCTTTGGTCACTGACTTTCAACCTTTTAAACCAGGTAAAGCCCAGTTGCCATTTCACACTATCTCTCCCCAAAATGAATAGCTGTTTTTGGAATTCTCAGTCTTGCCAAAAAGCTTAGATGACAATTAGGAGTTGCTCAACTGTTATTAAGGATCACAACTAAGAATTGTTTCCTAAGCTTTTTAATATATGAAAATCTTATAGGAGTAGTCTAGTCTTTTTTGAAGGATTCCTCTTGAAAAAATATAGATGCAGTGATGAAATATTAGAAAATTGGAATCTGAAGTCTTGTTTTTCAGAATTAGAGATGTGTTAGTGATTTTTCCTGTTGCTGTGACAAAATACCAAACATAAGCAATGTAAAGAAGAAAGGGCTTTATTTGTCTCACCATTTGAAGGCACAGTCTGTCTTGGCAGGAAAGGCATGGCAGCCAGAGTGTGAGGTCATGTGTCTGCAGTCAGAAAGCAGAGTTCTGAAGGCTGCTGCTCAGCTTTCTCCTCTGTATTTAGCCCCAGATCCCAGCCTGTGGGATGGTGCCACCTCAGTCAGGGTGGGTTCCCCTTCCGTTCACCCTCAGAGACACAGGTTGTTTCCATGGTGATTTTAAAAGCAGTTGACAGTGAAAATGAATCATCACAACAGACACTCTGGATACAATCAATAGTCCCCAAACTTGCTTATTAAACTTCATTTTTCTCTAAGTTTATCAGCCATACATAATTTACCAACAATGCATGTTTACTACAGAAATAACAAATGAAAAGTATAACAAACACAAAGATGCTGGGGCAAAGCTAACTGCCTGGCCTGTGTGTTCCTCTGGATGGCTGTTTTGTTTGTACTAATCCATCTAGTGCATGAACATAGGCAGATAAACAGGGGCCCCCTATGTAACCCACTCTAGTCTCTCACTCACTACATCTTGTCTTAACAGTGCTGTATTTTAACTGAGTGCCTTCGGGCCCAGATGAAGCATTATATTTTGAATTGTTAAAAAAATAAAAGATGTCCTTGATCTCCTTTTGTTGTCTTAATTGCTCTAAAAAAAGAGAGAAATTCCTGGTTTCCTATTGGTTCTAGAATTCTTCAGCTTTAATAATTGAGTTGTGGAAAACTTATAAAGAAACAAAAAGTTTCTTGTTATTTTATACTGTTTTCTAAAAAAATACGAATTTATTCTGTTGTTGTAAAAGACTTCATAGCACTCTAAGTATTTGGAGTAGTCTTTTATTTCATGAAACTATTACAATTACCATAGCTGGAATTAGCCAGCCATATTAGTTCATGATAGTGGCAAGTTATTTTTACCATTCATGTTGCTATTATTTCCAAGTTTCTTGCACATTAGCTTTCTATATTAGTCCTTTCTATATTGGTCTTGAAATGAATATAAAATTGACATAAACATAAAATAAAAGCAATACTTTACTTCCAGTAAATAAGTCTATACTTGAATTATGTCATTGACCTCTTGTATATTGTGTAGTAATTATGAACATGTATAGAACTGAAACTGAATAATTATTGAAAGAGCATTTGCTACTCCATTCTTTTGTCAACAAAACACAATTTAACTTTTTTGAATTTGTCATTTCTATGATGAAAATAAATGTCTACTTTTCTGGATCATAAAAAATAAAAAATAAAAGATGTTCTTTGCTGATACATGCTATATGAAAGTAGGTTCCAGTAGTTGTTCTCAAAATATATGGAATTTCAAAAGTAAGGAACTTTGAGATAAAGCAGTTTAACCAGCAATATGGAATATTTCTGAATTTTTCCTATTGAATATCCATAACAACAAAAGAATGTGACCTTGTAGGTTCCAGGGTTGAGTATTAAGAGCTTAAAGCAAGTAAAAATTATCTTTGGTGGTTATTTTTTGTCATAGATATGTATGAGGGGTTTTTGGTTGTTTATCTCTAAACCCATTCTGGTGTCACACACCTGCCATCTCAGCTCTGTGGGAGGCTGGCCAGGAGAAACATTTGAGCCAGGGAGTTTGAGGCCACCTTGGGCTCCATAAAGAGATTCTGACTAAACCAAAACCCAAAGCAAAAACAAACAAACAACAATGACAGCAAAATTCAGCCAAGTGTGATACCATGTACCTGTTAGCCTGTTTTGGGAGTTGGAGGCAAAGTGATCAAGACTAGCCTGAGTTAGTGTAGCAGGTCTGAGGCAAA